GGCCACAGCCTGCGACACGGCGTCCACGGAGCTCCTCAGGGCCTGCAGCGACGAGCCGTCCAACAGGCGCCGCTCGTCCAGGCTCACCTGCGTCTCCTCCAGGGCGCGCGTGGCATCGAGCTGGCCTTCCCGGATGACGTCCAGGTCAAGGTAGAGCTTCCGGCAGTTGCAGTCCTTGACGTACTTGATGAGGTCGGCGTGGCCGCCGTGCAGGTGCTGCAGGGTGAGGTTGAGCTCCAGGAGCTGCCGCTCCACCTCCTCCTTGTTCTCCTCCATGATCAGTGACTTCTCCATGAGGATCACCCGCAGCTCACGCAGCGCCGTGTGGTTCACCTGCAGCTCCTCCACCAGCCGCTCCACCTTGCTGATCTGGTCGAAGGTCTCATCCGACTCGGAATACAGCTCTTTGATCTCCTCCTCATGCCGGGACAGAATGTTCCTCATGTCCTGCAACTCTTCCTCCCTGCGGGTGGTGGCCACGTGCAGCCCCGAGAGGTTCCTCTGCAGCTGGCCCAGCCTGGCCTGCAGACTCTCCGGCTCAGGCCTTGCCCCAGCCCCTGCCGCTGCCACCACCAGGCTGCCATTGGTCCCTGGGGCCTCCTGGGCCTTGTGCAGCCGCTTCAATTTGGTGTCCACCTCGGCCTGGACCTCAGAGAGGGAGTGGTGCAGGGTCAGGCGCTGGGCTTGCAGGCGGTTCTCCATGTCCTGCCGCAGCTGTCCCACACTCTGAGCGTTCTCCTGGACCTTGGCTTCAAATTTGGCACCAAGTTCCTGGAGGTCAGCCCTGGCCACAGCACTGTCCTGGACCCTGGTGATGGCCTGGCGGTTGGCCTCCACATCAAGAGACAGGTTTCTTATGGCCTGGGAAAGGCTGTACAGGCTTTCGTTGAAGCTCCTCCAGAGGGGGCTGAAATGCACTTGCAAGAAGGCATCCACGTGTGGCAGCTCTTGCCCCAAGGATCTACCGGGGAACTCTGCAACAGACAGGGGTGGTTACACAAGCCCTGAGGAAGCAGATCCCCCCCCCCGG